GGGGGCTACAGAGAATACCTGTTCTGATTTGGGAGACATGAGCAATGTGTGGTGCCAAAATCTCATGGGAAGGTCCTCCAGCTGCTTCTAAAAAATGCAGCGGTGCTCAGGAGGGCTGACTGCTAAGAGGCTGCCATTCATTTGGCCGTACCTTACTTAGATCCCTGTCCCCTCAAAAAGTCTGGTGGCCTCTGTGGCTGCAGAGTTGTCACCCCGCCCTAACGATGGGCGAAGGCATGGACATGGAGTATCTGCATGAAGTTTTCTCAGGGCTTGTGGATCTCCCGAAGCGTGTCCTAAGGATACATCAATTTTGTGGACTTCTTTCAGGAAAACACATACTCTGGGGACCAGAAATTTGAATGAGCTTGAAGAGGGGATAGGCAGAAGGGGTTATTTTAAGGCTTCGGATGCTACCCAGACAGAAAGCAAAGTGTGGATGAGAGAGCCCACCTCGCCCTGGGAGAAAGGCTTGTACTTTTCTCAATGCGGAAATGGTGTGGTTACAAAATGTGTTCCCACAAAGCAAAGTGAAGGTCAGGAGATGCTGTGGATTTTATTTTATTTCATTTTTATTATTTATTTATTTTTTTTAAAGATTTTATTTATTTATTTGACAGAGTTAGTGAGAGCAGAAACAAGCAGGGGAAGTGGGAAAGGGAGGAGCAGGCTTCCCGCTGAGCAGGGAGCCCGATGTGGGGCTCAATCCCAGGACCCTGGAATCATGACCTGAGCCGAAGGCAGATGCTTAACCGACTGAGTCACCCAGGTGCCCCAATGTTGTGGATTTTAAAATTATGCTCAATGTGCAAACTAAAGCATGTTTTTCCCTTTCAGTTATGCTTTAATTTGAATCAGCGTTGTTTTAAGTTTGTCTATGAACCAAATTAATATTGTATTATCACTGGGAGAAGGGACTTAGTGAAAATGTGATTTTATTATGTTTTGAGCTCTGTTAAAGAGGGAAATCTTGCTTCTTAAGATAAAAATCTTTTCTGGAAAAGTCTTAATTCATAAGCAAAACAATGTCATTTTTGGTTTTAAATGTATAGTTTCTTATCTCTTAGGGTTTTATTTATCAGTTGCAGTTAATTACATCCTTTCTCATTTTGGGGTAGCATTAAACAGTTTCAGTTTAGAGGCTGTGAACATTGTTTCATTCTACATCCTGAAATAGCCTTTTAATTTTGCTTTCTCAGGAGGGGAGGAGCTCCCTCATGACTGCATTCAGCCATTAGGTGGAAACACTCCCTACTGAGTTTTTAAAACACAATTTTCAAAAGAAACTTTACTTGAACATTCCCAACCTCTGTTTCTTTCCATAGTATAAACTTTCCCAAAGGGAATAATGTATCAATTGATATGGTCCCAACAATCATTTTATTTGGGCCTGGAGAGCATAAAACATTTTGTTACTAATTTAATTAAAGTAGAAATTTTGAATACATGGTCTTTGAGTAGAATGTGGATATAGTGAAGAATAAGTAGAAGTTACGTGTATCTTTCCTGTGGTAGGCCCATTCTGTTTCTGGATGAAGTTTTTCTATTGAATTATATTAGTGTTTCTTGAAACTGGAATCTGCTTTACTCAAGGATCTGCTGGAAGAATTCCTGAAGTTGTTACCAGCCTTCTCCATGCCTCTCTACTCCCACCTCCTCTGTAGCCTCCTCCACCTCCCATCTGGAGAATTTCTCATTTCTTGCTTACCACAGATGCCAATGTAGGGGAGGGGGACTTCTGGCCGAAGCTGGATTGCAGGCTGTTTTCTCAAAGGAGGGATTTAAAGGTCTATTGAAAATTTGGAATGCCCTTGTTTACCACATGGATGTTTGAGAAATAGAAGACTCTCCGGAGCTTACTTGAGTCTTAAAATCAACCCTACTTTACTTCTAGATTTCTAAATTTCAATATTTTTGAGTCAAATTTGATACAAAGAATTATATGTTATGTATTTCTAGTCTTTGTATCATTAATACGTGTTGTATATTTGTGCCTAAATTATAAGACTTGGAATTTATTATTTTAAAGAATTGTAGAGGTTTAGGACATCTTTATTTTCTGAGATTCTTGACAAATTTTTGTGATTATTACATATTTTTATTTGAAAATACTTTTATGTTTATAGCCGTTGACCTACGTGGGTCTATAGAAGCGCATCATGAAGCCTAAGGATTGTCCAAAGCACTGCGGACAAAGGTCTTCCTAAACCCTAACCATATGGGAGAACAGAAGTTTTTCCTCTCTGACTTAATCTCGCTCTGCAGCAGTTTTCAGAGGTAGATTGAATTAGTGAATTAGCTTTTATGCTTCTTGAGTTTTGTTTGCTGAGCGACTTAAGATGAACAATGTGGGTTACTGATGGATTCTCAAAGCGACTTAGAGATGAAATGCCTCTGTGATTTCTAGTGACTTTGAAGCCATATTAAGCATGAAGGCAAGGCTAAGAGACATCATGGCTTTTATGTGTCTTTGGGTGGATGTCAACTCAGGAGTTTAGTTTCAGGTTTCTAAAAATCCCACCAGCAGGTGCTTATAATCCCCTTGTCCTGTGCCTCAGGCTTCCCAGCATTTCTCGTTTCTGACTTAAAATCATGTCCTTTCGAAAAATTTAAGATATATTAATTTCTTCTAAATTATCTCGTAAATCTCTGCCATAATTTGGTTTCTAAACAATAACCAAATAATTTAGTTTTATTTATGTGATGAGAATAACAACTGGTATTTATTGTCTATACTTATGCAATTTTATAGATGGAGTTTTAACATTGAATGCGGAGAACACTAATTATGCCTATCAAGTTCCAAACTTCCATAAGTGTGAAATCTGTCTGCTATCTTTTCCAAAAGAGTCCCAGTTTCAACGCCACATGAGGGATCACGAGCGAAATGACAAGGTATGTATTCTCAAGAGGGATGTCAGAAATGTGAGCGTTGAAACTGGAGGTATTGTAAAAATCAGCATGTCAAATACAAATTTTTCTTGTAATTTAGATTCTTAAATTGTGGGGCATTTTATCTTACATGAATATATCCCTTGATGTTTTGTGCTTAGCTGTAGTGTATTCCTAACCCTTATATGGGTTAATGAGATCAAGTGAGAGCCGGTCTAGTGAATCTCTGTGTTGAAGTTCTTTATCTGTGGACAAAAAAATCATCTCAAAACAGGACTTTCTGTGGTTCGGTTTCTGTGTGACTGAACGCAGATTTGGTATATCTTGATGTGTTTTTCTCCAGCAGGGAGTGTTATCCGAGGTGGTCTTGCGTTTTAAAATGGTATTCCAGAGATTTTAGATTGCATTTCAGCAGGAAGTAACACTATCTTAGAGATTGGAATCCTTTTTTGCAGGGCCCCTGTGGGCTAGGTTAAGAGTATTAGTGTCTTAATGGAATGAGCTGCCTGATAGAAAGTGGCAGTTAAAACTACCTTTAAAAAATGATCGTTGACTTTTCCTAGTTTGGGAGAACATACGCCAGTGAGCCATTTGAGGTCAGGAGAATGCCAGGGATCTCTTCCCTAGGGAACAGGACATGACTAACTCTGGCTTTGTCTTCAGCATGAATCTGATATATAATATATGATCATACATAATATCACTAGTACTGATATCAACTGGTATTACCCTCCTAAGTTGAAAATCTGAAAGTACTGACTCTAGTGTCTTGATATTCAGAGAGAAATACCAGTGATTACTTTATCTTTCTACAAGTAAATGGCAGGAATACCTTTCATTTGGGGAAAATTTTAGACTGTGATAAGCAACTCTCTTAAAATGTAGTAAAAGCTTTTATGATTACTGATTTTACTTGAAGTGATTCTGTTTAGAGCAGTGGAGTTGGTCAGAAAAGAAGGGAAAAATCCATCCCAGGGAGTTGAAGTTTCTCACCTTTATTTTCATAGTGACTATATCCTGATACATTTATATGCAGCATTTTTTATTCAGGATATTTTCTGCATTGATGTGTTGTCGTCCTTAGAATCCTTTGAGAAATTCTGTAAGGAGCTTTGCTGTGTCCATTTTGGGTTTATTGACTTCAGGTCCAGAAGAGATTTCAGAAGTTCCTTAGATTGTCTATAGATTATGGTACGTGTTAATATTTGAATGGCATTTATTGTGGAAAGATTGTATTTCAGTGGCTTCTTGACTTTTCTCTCCAAATAGCCACATCGATGTGACCAGTGCCCCCAAACATTTAATGTTGAATTCAACCTGACACTTCATAAATGCACCCACAATGGGGAAGATCCTACCTGTCCTGTGTGTAACAAGAAATTCTCCAGAGTGGCTAGTCTCAAAGCGCATATTATGCTACATGAAAAGGAAGAGGTAATTATTTTGGCCTATACTTTGTTCATGGATTTTTAAAATGCATCTAATCCTTAGGGGGATTTTAAGTATCAACTAGTTTAACAAGCCTTTCGTATAGATTTCTAGGAGTTAATTATCATTCAGTGTGCCTTGCCTAATTCTCTACTTCACTGACAAAACGTTTTATTTTCTGGCCCGTCAGTATCTTAGGGTAGACACTCTCAATGTGTTGTATCTTTGGAGGATCCACTTGTGCCCACATAGGATTCTGCAGTGGTCAAAAGCAAATGTTCGGTCTCTAAAGACGGTAGTATCTCCTCGCTTGGCTTCTGGATCCCCTGACGTGTGGGAATTTGGGAGAGGAGAAGAAATTCTTGATGCCCCAAAGCAGTTTGTACAGCAAAGTGAGCAATTCTGAAAGGCCCACAGCTGTCGTCTTGGAACTGCATTGAGGATGACAGGGCCACATTGCTGATGTGTGGACGGGGGCTTCCTATTGCTGGGGTGGGTGGGCCTAATTTAAAGTACAAATGGCTATTGCTTTAAAAAATTAAACCCCCATGTCCCTGATTATTATTGTGTAAAATTAGGAAAATGCAAACAGTAAAGGAGAAAATAAAAGTCACCTTTAATTCTACTGTCCAGGGATGGGTTATAAAAAACTGTTTGGTATATTTTCTTCCTGAGACAGAAAAACAAGTAACAGTATTTAAATTGCATATATAAAAATTGAGTTCATACTTCTATATACGTTTGTCTCTTCTTTTTATATATGTCTTTACTTTTTAATATAAACTAATTTATTTTTATCTTTTTAAGTTATTATATAAATAATGTGTTTATTTTGGAAAAATATTAGAAACTAAAGATTAACAAGAGTAACATTATTAGAAGAACCAAGAATCACAACATTTGGAGAGAATGCATGCATAGTCTTTCAGACTTTTTTTTTTTTTTTGCTATACATCCTTTCCATAATAGTTTATTTATTTAAGAATAGTTTTTTAATTCAAAAATATTTATGATACTGTTTTTTTAACCTGTCCTTTTCCCTTAATATATTGTAAATATATCTTTGTCCATTTTCACTTACTATATTATGAATGTTTCCCCATGTCAGTATTTTAAATTACTTTATTAGTCTCCTGCATCTGGACATAGCATGATGATATGCAATCATTTCTTTTGTTATTGAACATTTATTTATACTTTTTAAACATTACACCTAATGTATCATTATATGTATCTTTAATTATTTCATTAGGATAGATTCCTGCAGTTGGGTTTACTGAATTAATACTACCTTTTCAGGTTCTTTGTAGAATGCCACATTATGTTCTAGAAAGCCCGTGCAGCCTCGTCCCTTCTCCTGCAGACTGTAGGTATTCCTTGTCTCACTCATTGCTTTTTTGTTTTTGCTTTTGTTTTTTTTTGAAAAGCAGAAAGTGCCTGTGTTAAATGATATAGTGTCCTGGGCTGAGTTCTACATGCGCACAGTAAGAGATCAGAGTAGAGGACGACGTAGAGCATGATTTCCTATTTTGCTGGAAGCGGCTTCTCCGTCCTTCCCTGGGCATTCTGGGCACATACAGATCTCTTCTGCAGCCCCTTTAATCCAGGCCATCCATTCTGTGCCTTTTGTCTTCAGTGGACGGCACCTTAGCTCTTGTGGTGTGTCCGTGCATCGTGGAGCGGTCTCGTTCTTTTCCACAGCACATGGCCTTACGTTGTATACACGCATATCAATCAGCAGGTTGCCCCGGCAGACAATGTAGGTGGTTTTCAGCCTTGTGTCTATATAAACAGACAAAGCTACAGTGAGCAATCTGTTCATTTACAGATTCTGGTTCTTGTGACTTGCTTAGAAATACTTCCCAAATCTGAAATGATTATTTCTTAAAGTCCCACCACATCGTGCAGCACCCACGTGCATTGCACAACCCGGGAGGTCACAGCGATCCCTCCACCTCCAGTCTCTCCTTCCAGGACGCCCGCGTGCCCCCCTCCCATCCTCCACCATGGGGACCCAGGCTCCAGCAGGGGCATACTCGCCCACTCCTTTGCTCTGTCCTGTCATTGCCTCTGAAATAGTTTCACAGTTGGCTCAGCCCACTGTAAGTCAGCCTACTGAACATGGTCTAGGATCTGAAGGACGTCCAGGGCTCTTGGGTTCAGTCCACGTCCTATTGTAGGCCCACCTCTTTCCCATGCGCACTAACTGCCCTTGACGTGGGTCCAGTTGGTGTGACCACAAAGACAGTCCAAAGCAGAGTAGGGTTTGAGGGTGGGGTGGGGGGTCAGTTTCAATATCTGGATAGTAACTTACTGTTACAAGTCACAGTGATATGAACAAGGAGCATCAGAAGAGCCGCTGCCTCCTGTACCCTCTGCCTGGTCCTCCCAGGGTCCCCGGGGCACTACCACCTTCTCGAGTTTCATCTTTGTCTTTGCTGTGTTTCTCTGTCTTGATAAGCAAATGTTCATATGCTTCCTGTTTTCCTTTTCTGGTTTATTATTAATGTGAATGTTAGAATTGCCTTGTTAAAAATCAGTTGGTACTTTTACTTAGATTGACTTAAATTTTTAGATTGTTACAGGGGAAAATTGAACATGTTTACAGTATTGAATCTTTATTGTCAAAACATCTCAGTAGCCCTCCACCCTTTCCCACGTGATAGATAGGTGACAAAAACCTGATTGGATGACCAGCACAGGAGGGGTTAATCAGATTAAAACAGCCCATAAAACCCCCTAGACTTAGGTACTCCAGTGGCAATCCTCTTAGGTCCCCTCCCTCCTCCGGAGCTCTGTGTTATCATTTTGCTATCGCTCAATAAACCTTCCTTTGCTGCCACCAAAAAATAACTAAAAAACAAAAAACATCTCAGTATTGTTTTGTTCATATGGATTCAGTATGTTTAAATTCTAAAGTGTTCTAGGATTTTTATTAATATCATTTGGGGGTCTTTCTGTTACGTGTTTGTCATTTGTCCTTAGGGAAGGAGTGTGTTTTTGTCTATTAGTTTTGTAGCCTGCCGTCCTCCCAGATTCTCTTTGGGTTTTCATCTGTACAGGCTCATCTGCAAATAATAATTGGGTAATAAGATGTTTTGTTTTCACTAGCATGTTGGGGGTGTCTAAAATAAAACCAGCTGTTGATCAGTATAAGTCATCATAATATGTAGTGGTCGCATTTTCCCTAACTTTTTATTTTGAGAAATTTCACCCTTGAAAGATGGGTACAATGAATACTCAAGAACAGTGAATCCTTTACCTGGATTGACCAATTATTAAAATTTGCCAGACCCCACCCCTGCCACTTCACCCCATTGTCCTGTTACCGCTTCACCTCTAAACACTTCAGTACGTGTTTTTCCTCCTGCTCATAAAACCCATCTCAAGCCCGCGGGATGGCCTGAGGAAGGCGTCAGGACAGTGGGGCACGGGGTCCGGGCTGCGAAGGCGACGAGGTGAGCCGGGGCTGCGGCTTTGCAGCTGCTCTCGTGTGGGGCCCCCCGGGGGCGCTGTGGCTGCGTGTGGGTCGGGGCGCCCGCCGAGGGCGGCGGTGGCACCCAGGGCTGTCCCGTCGCGGGGCCCTGCCCGCGTCCCCACTGCGCCACTTCTGCAGAGCTGCCGTCTGAAATCGACGTTGACTTTCTCCGTGGCGGGAAAGGGCAATAACAGTAATTGATCGTTTCCAGAAAGTCTTAGTTTCTTGGGCATTCGTTTCAAAATCTTGCCTTCGTTGTATCTTCTCTTCCACACACTTGGTCCATGTTCTTTCCCACGTTGTTCCCCAGATGGAGCTCACCGTCCTCGCTCTGAGGGCGGTCTCCCGTCTCCCTTCCGCTGCTGGTGGCGGCCCTGTGGTTTGTAGCTGTGCTAGGACGTCCCGTCCCCGAAGGGCGCCCGACCCTCAGTGCCGGTGACAGCCCAGCTGTCTTTGCCTTTTGCTCTCATGGTTGTGAGAACGTCAACGTGCCCTCGTTTCAGACCCCTTTTTTTCCTAAAAAGGCCTTGGAGGAACGTGTATTTCCTGAGATGAGTAGACTGCATTTCTGTTCCCCTTGCTGTCCTGTCTTGTGTCTCTTCTCCTGAGTCTCTCTGTCCACCCACGGTCCCGGGGGAGGGAGAGGCTGTGGTGGCGCCGGGGCCCGTGGTAGGCGGCGGCATGAGTGTGGCTGCCCGTCATGGCCCAGAGCCACTGTGTCTGCAGCGGAGAGAGACTCAGTCACCTGGCCTGGTCACCCCACGCCGGGCAGGAGCTCCTGGCAGGGTTCTCCAGGGGCAGAAGCAAAAAGGCTTGGTTGTGCTTGTTTCAGGTGGGAAAATGCGTTGGCCTTGTGTGAAAAATGGGCGCCCTTTTCTTAAAGGGCGGTGTTAGTTTTGGAGTTTTCCTCTGTCCCCTGTGTGGCCTTGTGCGGTTCGGAGCTGGTAGGGCCGCTGTGCCTCCGAGGTTGTCCAGGTCCCCCCCCCAATCCTACCTCTGTCACGTGGCTCGAGGACGAGGAGCAGGGAGAGACCTGGTCTGTGAGCAAGAGAACACAGTCCCTACGCACGGTGGTGGCAAGTAGAGTTTCTAGTCAGAGCCGTATGCTCGGTGAGGAAATCGATTACTGTGTAAGAAAAGAAGAATAGATATTGGAACACAATCATCAGTCTTTCCCACATATGTTAAAACAGTACATTTCTGGCTACCTTTTTCTGTTTGGCATGTTTTTATTTCTTAGTGACTTGGTATGAATATGGTATGAGTAATACAGGAAGAAGTCCTGACCTTCAGTCACATGCAAAAATAACCTGTAAGGATCCAGCCAACATGGAGAAACCTTCCTTTTTTTTTTTAAAGATTTTTTATTTATTTGAGAGAGAGAGTAGAGAGAGGGGAGGGTCAGAGGGAGGAGCAGACTCCCTGCTGAGCAGGGAGCCCGATGCGGGACTCGATCCTGGGACTCGATCCTGGGACTCCAGGATCATGACCTGAGCTGAAGGCAGTCGCTGAACCGACTGAGCCACCCGGGCGCCCCATGGAGAAGCCTTTCTATCCCAGCCGCCTCTGCCCCTACAACTGACACCACCCAGTGAGAACATAACCCGCTGATAGAGGGCTGTGGGATGCGGGAAGAAGGCTGGCAGCTGAGGGCCTTCTGGGCCTGAGGAGCAGTACGACAATGAGCTCCTCTGGCTTCTTCTTTTACTCCCATACACCTGGACAGGTTGCTGGAGAAGCCTGTAGCCTTCTGCCAACAGGCACAGATGAAAATAAGCTTCAAGAAAAGCTGATTCCCCTAAGTTAAAACTGGCAAAAGACTGGTTTACCAATAGAAAATCTTTTTGACGATGCCCACCCTACTCCAGCCAAATACCAACTGAGAAACTGCTCAGCAAGGCTGTGAGTGATCTTCCAACCCATCCTGCCCCCTGTTCCTAAACAGATGGCCCTCTGATCCCGTGACCGTCTGGGATTAAGTACAGAGCTAATCTTGCATCTCTCTCTGGCAGAAGGAGGTGGTACCCAGGCTGCCCCACCCGATGGTGTTAGCAGAGCCAGGCTGGCAGCTGACCTCTCATACTCTGCAGAAGCAGGCAGTGTTGTGATTCTCTGCCAGAGTAGTGCCAGTGGGCCAGTGGGGAGCTGAGCCTCACCGCACCTGACAGCAGTGAGATTTAACCGGAGGATGCAGGACGGACCAGTCCACAGTGAGCCTCCAACCAGATGATGCAGGACGGACCAGTCTGCACTGAGCTTTCCACCCTGGGGTTGGCAGGACCCTGTAGTGAGCCTCCACCCCTGACGTTGTCCTCTGCTGCATCTAGGCGGAGTGACTGCCTGATAAAAGAAAAGCAGAGGTCTAGAGTCTCACAGCACGACACCCAGAGTGTCCAGGATACAGTTGAAAATCACTCAACAGACCAAGAACCATGATAGCTCCAGCTCTAATGTAATGAGAAAAGATGGCGTATTCCAATACTGAAGGGACCCCGATGGAATTATTTGGCAAGGATTTTAAAGCAGTCATCATAAAATTGCTTTAAGAATTGTTTTGAAACAAATGAAAAAAATGGAATAGAAGAGAGAAGAACCAAAGGGAAATTACAGTGAAAAATGCAGTGAACATAAAGAACTCAGCTGAAGGGCTTGGCAGTGGAATGGGGAACCCGGAGTCTCCCGATGAAGCCCGGGCCAGGGAGAGGACATTCCATACTGGAGTGTGGAGGGTGTGAGTGAGGGTCTGAGACATGGGGCCACAGGGAAGGGTCATGCGGTGGCCCCTGGCGGGGACCTAGAAGGGCAGCTGTTATGGGGAGAGCGGCCGCAAGGCGGTTAGTATTTATCATATTTTATACTCTGACCTGTAAAAATTGACCTTCAGCAAGAAGGGGGCTGATCAGAATGCTGTGCATTTCCCTTGATGAGTTCTGCTTGTCACTCGTCCAGGATGGAAATTATCCAGAAGGGTCTGTTTCTAGGGGACAAAGCAGTCACTACTTCTAGGCTGGAGGATTGATGGCAGCTCTGAATATGGAGAATGCAGGATAGGGGAATGTCCCATAGCGGTCGGCAAGGAAGCGAGGTATGGGGCTCCTGGCTAGGGCTTCGTCAAGTGTGGCCAGCTGATGGGAGCGGGTGGGAGGCGCGCCCTGGCTCCTGGGGCTTTCTGGGTGTGAAGCAGAGGCACGATGACGCTCTCCACCACGTGCTGGGTTTTGCTCGTGGCTCCGGGGTACTTGCCCTTGCTTTTGCCAAATGTGGGAGTTGTGCTCCGAGAACCGACAAGTGTAGATAGCCCCTGAAATGTACTAATCTGATCATTAAAAGAGTAAGGTGAGGATGGGACAGGTTGGGAGAGCCAAGTTTTATTTCACAATTACAAGAAGGGACACCTGGGGCAGCCCTGAGCAAAAATGAGTATTTTGCCATATAAATTTAGGAATTTTTTTTTTAAAGAGATGCAGCAAATTTTGTTAGGTATTTTTTTTTTTCTTTTTGACAGTTTCCTGAAAAGAATTTTCTTTATTATCAACAAGATGCTGACATCTTGTAGCTCGTTATTTCCTTAAATTATTATGTAATAATACTAACTTAACATTATTTAAGTTGAAATCATTATTGGATTGCTCAGAATATTCCCTTCAGCTCATCTTTTTTTGCCAAGGATGCTCTCAGTATCAATGAACTACTCATTTTAATGGGGTTTACTCACATTTACAGGGCTGGTATGTATAGAAATTAGAAGAAAGTCTGATGGAAGAACTAGCTCAATAACTTTTAATATGTGAATAATATTTCGTATATATTTTCAAACTAAAATATATCAAAATAAAATTTATTTTATCTGTTTGTTGTTGTTGCTGTTCTTATTTGGAAATAACAGTGTCTGCTCATTGACAGGTTATACTCATTTTTCCCCGTGTTTGGACAGTCTGTGTTGAGGATGGTTTAAAAACCTGTACGATGGAACTCTTGAGTCTGCTCATCCAATTTCGTCCTCAGCCAGCTTTTCCTCCTGCCGAGAGCTGGGCTGAGTTCTCCCTCTGTGCCCTGCTCTCTGTTGAGCATCCTACACCCTGGGGGGCAGGCGCAGTGACATCCCTGTGGTTAACACCCAGATGCCATAGCCAGGGGTGAACAACCCAACTCCAGGACACATGCACTGCTGTTACCTAAAGGACAGAGGAGTCATTTAAAATTTATAGTAGCCATATTAAAAAAGGAAAAAAAAAAGGGAAAAAACCAGATGAAATAAATTTTAATATAGTTTATTTTGAAAATATATCTAAAGTATTACATATTAAAATTGAGCTGTTTTACGTTCTTTGCTTTTCGCAGTCTTTGAAATCCTGTGTGTATTTCATGCTTTTCCCACTGCGCTATTCAGACCACACCTGTTTCAAGTGCTGGGCAAGCCGTGTCTGGACGGAGTCCCTGACTTCTCTCTGTGAGAGCCTGCCTGTGAAACAATGATAAGTGTTTCCATTCAAAAATTTATCAGCTGTCACTTTGCTTTAAGGTAGTCTATTAAACTCCAATCTTAATTTGAGTTCTGTCCTGACCCTTCTGTGGCGGTGAAGTCCTTCTGCTTCTCTGACGTTTCCTCAGCACAGGTGTTCGAAATGCCAGGTACCCAACAGCCAGTCTGTGCTCAAAAATGGCACGGTTCTCTTATCCGCTTCTCTGGGTTTCCTTTTCTTCCAGCCAAGATGATTTTTATATATGCAGATTTGGACATAATGACACAGTTTTTGATGGTGAAAATAGTGTTTATTCCAGAGGAAAGTGTAATCTGTGTATCGACCATTTGCAGTACCAGTTCTTTTAAGACGTCATGGTTTTGAAATGTTTGCTCTGCTCATGGATGGTCTTTGCTTTTGCAGAATCTCATCTGCTCTGAGTGTGGGGATGAGTTCACCCTGCAGAGCCAGCTGGCCATACACATGGAGGAGCACCGCCAGGAGCTGGCTGGGAGCCGGCTTCATGCCTGCAAGGCCTGTAGGAAAGAGTTCGAGACGTCCTCCCAGCTGAAGGAGCACATGAAGACTCACTATAAAATTAGGTATGAGCCTTTACTTGGGCTTGCCAAAAAAAGAAATCTATACAACATATTAAAAATGGGTATACTTTGCTATGATTGCTTAAAAATACTGTCTACTTTAGAAACAGCAACATGGCAGCTAATCTGGAGTGGTGTCAGGATAGCTTTTAAAACGTGTAGCCCTGTGTACGGTAAGAAAGAGAAGCTCAAAAATTTAAAGCAGTCATCAGGCTGCAGGAGTCGAAATTTTTAGCAAGTATTATAGTGTTAAAAGTTGTGGGACGGGGTACTGACAGAACATTTTCATAGGTAAATAATGAGGTGTGTATGGTAGATCCACAAGGGCCAGATCAGCACCCTTTATAACAAACAGATTTATTTATACTACCTGTTTAGAACTTCTGTGTTCCTGACGCTTGCGCTTAGTGTGCATTTAAACATGTGTGAATAAAACTTAATCATTGCAAGCAGCCCTATCAGACCAGGAGACCTTACCTCCCCACTTTGTGGATGAGGAGCTCTAGATACAGGACGAGTTACTTTCCCACGGTTTTACAGCTCGGAGGCTTCAAGCGTCAAGGATTTCAACCCTAATTGCCTGGTTTTCGAGCTCATACTATTCGCTTAGTCAGTAGGCTGACAGCCGTGCTTAGTTGTCACACTCGGGGAGTGAGCTTAGGAGTTACGTGTGTGTGTATGCTTCCTCGTAACAACTGCAACCACTATAGCAGTGTCCACACCAGTTAATAAAGTGTGTAAACTGTGTGAAGACTTTGTCGGATTTGGTCGCCCTCTGAGGAGCTGTGTTTTAGTGGCGTGGACACCCCCTGGGGCCAGCGCCGCCTTACCCCTCCCACGCCCCCCACTTTGCCTGTTGTCCACTACTGGGGGCCCCGAGCATGCTGCATGTGCCCCATCACACTAGGTTTTTATTTGGATGAAGTTTTAACACAGGCAGGTTTGGTGTGTCTCCGAGGGTTTTGGGGAGATGACGAACGGTGTCCAGGCGGTCAGCATGCAGTCGGCCGCACCGGCTTCTGGCCCTTCTGGGATGGAGGGACGGGCCAGGCAGACAGCCTCGTCCTCGTGGAATGCTCGTTTATCAGGGAGATGAGTCAGTGTGCCACTCTCAGATAGTGCTTGTGTGGAGAAGGGAAGAAACTGGATTGCGCTGGGGCAGTGCCAGGAAGGTGGGCAGCTTGGTGAGCGGGCTGTTGAGGCGGGCCACGCTGAGGAGGGTGTCTGAAATGAGGAGGGCCACGCGGGCCGGGAAGGGGAGAGCAGTTGCCACACCTCAGCTGCAGTGAGTTTTCTCTGCACTGGAAAGCAGAAAGGAGGCTGGCGCTTGGGAGCCCACTGTGGAGGGGAGCTTGCTGGCGCTGGGTATGAAGCAGGTGGGCCGCGGGGCTGAGGGCCTCCGGAGGCCATCCTGGGAATGAGGATTATATCCCAAGGGTAGTGGGAAGTCTGCCCCAACTTCCCCTGTGGGGTGGCTGTGGGGGGTGGTGTTGAGGAAGGGAGGCCGGTGAACCATCACAGCGGACGGTGGTGGTCTGACGACTGGAGAGTGGGGAGGCCTGAGCGTCTTTGGAGGTGTTTTGAGTGAAACCAGTAGCTTTTGAAGATGGACTTGAAGTCAGGGACGAGAGGGAGAATCTGGAGCAACTCCTAAGGTTTAACCTTGCCCAACTGGGAGCTGCTGTTTCCTGGGTGGGGTAGCAGCAGGAGGGGGATGGGCAGAGTCCTGTTTGGTTCACACTAGCTCGCAGCCACCAGGGAGCCGAGCGCAGAGACGTCAGGCGGAGAGGGAGACGTCTAGGATCGGTGTCAGGGGTGCTGGAGGGAGGACTTGGGAGATCGTCAGCCTGTGGATGGTGTTGAGAGCAAGGAGACTGGAGGACGAAGCAGGACTTGGCAGTGTAGGGATCGTACCCAAACACGTCTTTACGTCCGAGCACCACAGGTAGAGCTGTGTCCAGAAGGGACATTCTCACCTCTCCCCTCCAAGAAAAGAAAGCAAAGTTTATCTTTTCATTAGATAGGGAAAAATGAATTTTATGGTAATGAACACTACCAAACAACTGCGTGTCCGTGTGTACCTGTGTGTTTGTGGAGACACACACTTACATGTGATTGATTTCTTGTTAAAGCATGTTCTGACCACCACTCATCCACACTTGCTGGTAGCATTTTAATTTTGAAATTGTAATACAGAGGAGACGACTTCATGAATATTTTCCCCCCGTGTTATACTAGGGTATCAAGTACAAGGTCTTATAACCGGAACATTGACAGGAGTGGATTCACATATTCATGCCCGCACTGTGGAAAGACATTTCAAAAGCCAAGTCAGTTAACTCGGCATATTAGGATACACACAGGTATGAGATACATTCACTTTTGGGCGATTTATGATATGGCTTAGAGGAAAGAACATGTGTGTTAGAGCTAGCTAGAACTGGATGGTAATGTTGGCTTTTCTGTCCTTTGCTCTGTGACCTTGGTCTTCACTTTGAGATTTTTGAGTAGTCGGTTGGATGCATGAGTCTACAGTACAGGGCAATGTTCTGTCTGGACAGATGGGTTTGGGGGTAATGTATTTCTCTTTTAATTCATTAGATGCTTACACATGTGGCATTATATTCTGATCATTTTTCTCCCTCTCTAGGTGAAAGGCCATTTAAGTGTAGTGAATGTGGGAAAGCTTTTAACCAGAAGGGGGCATTGCAGACTCACATGATTAAGCATACAGGTGAAAAACCCCATGCCTGTGCCTTCTGTCCTGCTGCCTTTTCTCAAAAAGGGAATCTCCAGTCCCACGTGCAGAGAGTTCACTCAGAGGTAAACATGGAACTTGGGTCCGTGTGGTGCTCATGGGGGTGTGGTAGATGGCTCTGGAGTTAATGAGTGAGCCTGAGAAATTCTTTTCTACTTTTAAAATGCAGGTTTAGAGTTTGTGCAGAGCAGACCTTGTTTTAAACAAGCAAGCAAGCAAATATATGTATCTCTATATGGACACCCTATTGACTTACATATGGGAGAAATATAAAATATTATCTTTCTGTGGTCTTATGGACGCTATTGTAGCTTTGATGAATAAATGTTTGAAGATAATCATAATACCTTTGTTAGTTACAATCCATCGATCTGATCGTTAACATTTCATCCCTTTAGCAAACTTGAAACACAGACACTATCAAGTCTAAGAACTTGAAAGACAAGAAATAAATTGAGAGGAAAAAAGTATTTTTCCTATTACTATCATTATTGCTAAACTCACCCATGGCCTCATTCACGTTTTTTATCAGCCAGAGCCCTGGTCTGTGGATTTCCCTCCACGTGAACTATTTCAGTGAGACTGTTGTTCACCATTTCTTGTTGTCTGCAGATCATTCTGATTTGTAAAACGTTTGGAATCATTTCTCTTAAGCAGGTTAACCTTTGCTCTTTCCTGATTTGGTGTTTGATTTATAGTCTAATTGTAGAATATAAATTAATGTTTAAGTGACACACTTTTATCACAGATCATTTTATTTTATGTAACTGTTTTGCAGAATGAAGACTCATATTCTTAAAAGCAAATGTGTATCTTTTCATTTTTTCCTTGATGCCTTAAGTATCACTGAAATAAAAAAACCCTCCGCCCTTCACATAGTTTATAAACATATTCAGCCTTCCATATGCGAGTTACTTGTTAAAACTAAGTTTTATGTTCTAAGACCCAGACACCTGAGGAGGAACACATAAATATTAGTGAGGCAGTGAAAATGTGGAGTGAGGTTTCCTTTAGATCTCAGAAGAGTAGAAGTGACCTGTTCCAGTTATTCTGGGGGAGCTGCCTCTGTGTGCGGACGATTGCTTCGGGATGGCCGCTTACTCGCGTGGCACCCAGAGAGACCTCATGCCCCCCCACCGCCCCACCCCCGGCAGCCCGCTGAGATGCCTGCCGGTGTTCCTGAGGTCACAAAACCCCTCTGGGAGGGTGGGGGCTTGCCCGGCTCCCAGACTGAGAGCCCCTGGGACCTGTGGTGGGGCAGATGGCCGTGTTCCAGAAATGACCTCTAAGGGTTGGTTTGTAAATATTATCCAGTCCTGTGATGAACCTTAAATTTAGTTCTTAACAAGGTGCTAGAAATGGAACAGAATATCCATGTGTAGAGAAGGCCGGTCCGTTTTCAACCAGCCTTCGTAATTACAAGAATAACTACCGCTGGGCTTGAATAATGGCGAAGGAATAGTTGAGACGCTTTCCGTGTACCCAGAGGTTCTGCTTCATTTCCCTCCTCTCTAGGGTCCCCTGTTGGCTTTATCATAGTTGTCCAAAGTAGTTGCTGATAAGGGAGTATTGGGATTGGTGATGGAAGCTTACGCAGTGCGCAGCCCTCCTTCCCAGCACGTATATCGTAACGCACCAAAGGCTTAGTTAGAGTGTTGCTCACACCTGTGTTACACTGTGCGTAACCACTGAAGACACTGAGAGTGTAAGTCAGGTATCTTATTTTCACCAAATTACAATAACTGGAAACTATGTCTTCTCACTTCCAAATCTGTTCTAATTTATAGAAAAGACTATGAAATTTCAATTAATTTCACACTGGCAAGGTTGATGCAAGAGTTGGGTCATTGATTTTAGGACTGTCCAGTTTGAAAGAAAAAGTAATGTTAAATGGTTAGATTGTTTTTGCCATTTTTAATGGAATGGTAAATTACGATTTGCTATAATTTAAATATTTTTGTCTAATAGTTAATTGTAAAAAATAGTTTTTTCTCTTTTGTTCTTTAAGGTCAAGAATGGCCCTACCTATAATTGTACAGAATGTAGTTGTGTATTTAAAAGTCTAGGTAGCTTGAACACTCATATCAGCAAGATGCACATGGGCGGACCACAGAATCCAGCAAGCTCCACAGAGACCGCTCACGTTTTAACGGTGAGTCTAGCAGGCTGCTTGATAGGGGGATAACCTTTTACCAAAATTGGTCATCTTAATTGTGACCTTTAAAATGGAATATTATTTAGAATATTATTTAGTACCACAAAGGTGCTATGAAAGTTTTCTATAAGGAGGTAAGGGTACTTTCTTATTTTTTTAATTAGTGAAAGAAAATCAATATTTTTAAACTTCAGAATAGTATCAGATGATCCTGATTTAAGAACTGTCACCTGAAGCAATGGAAAGCACGCAAAATGCAATCATTAATTTATGAAATGGTCATCTTACAGTGCTATTGATGATTACTATTGACTATTCTTTATCCCTGTGTGATGACTTAAGAATCAGTTAACCATCGTAAAATAATATTTCTCCACATCTGATGGGACAGTGGTAATTTTTTCCTGAGGATGTGGCCTTCTGTGGAACTAAATTGTGTAAAATTGGACGACACTCACTCCCACACTCGTGTTCGGGTTCTGGTGGGAGTCTTGAGCCCCGCCTAGGTCTGTTACCTCTTCCCTCGCAGCTGGTAGGGCGTGGCCGAGCGTGAGCGCGGGGCACCGCACCATGTGTGAGCGCGCACTCGTGAGCTGGCTTGGTGGTGCTTTGTGCGGTCAGCATCTGCCTACACCGGCGTGGAAACTCGTTAGTGTTTGGTTCCTGAGCTTTATGTTCGCATTTACGGTTTGTGTTTTGTTCTCTTTTCTCAAAATACTGGCAGCTCAGGATGGTTCCTCGCCTAACTCTTGATCAGGAATCCCCGTGCATTAGGCCGGCCCTGTGTTGTGCGTCCTGGGTGCACCTTCACGCATCACACAGAACGCTGCGTCTGACCTCCACTGTCTGCCACGTGGCGTTTCAGGCTCCTGCGTGTCTGGACAATCAGAGTGCTCTCTCCTTGGATGTTCTTGGCTCTGGCTTTCCTGAGCATTTATGCTCCAGTGCCCCTCTTTTCCAGAAATTTCCTGAATTATCTTGGCCACAGTGGTTTCTCTCTTATTTTCTTTATTTTGTAACGCTTTTATTTCTGTGTTTTACTGGACAGGCGGGAAGGTAAGGCCTGCGAGCCTACACCCCCACCTTGAGCTGATCACTCAGGAAATCATTGGAACGTGTAGTGGGACCATTCGTTAAGTATGTTCCTTTAAGAGCCCATATTGTGCCTAATGGAAAAATCAGTGAGGCGTTTTATTTAAAATTTGTGTTTGGGATATTGTTAGATTTTAATGCTCCTAAGGAAGATGTGCCTATTCCTTTCCTTTTTTTTTTTCTTTTAAATTGAAGTACAAATTAACGTACTTCTTACATTTTCAATGACAATGCTGCTGCGTTTCAGGCCACGCTGTTTCAGACGTTACCTCTCCAGCCGACGGAAGTCCATGTCACGTCTGCGTCGAGCCAACAGAATTCCCAGGCTGTGACCGACGTCATCCAGCAGCTGCTGGAGCTCTCAGAGCCGGGGCCGGCGGAGTCCAGCCAGCCCCCACAGCCCGGCCAGCAGCTCAGCATCACCGTGGGCATCAACCAGGACATTTTGCAGGTGAGGCGCACCTTCTTGCTCTCGTCTGTGCTTGTCCGAGACCGGGTACCGTTACTGAAAAATAAATAGGCAGGGCTTGTCCAAATATTCATCCTAATTGAAAACATTCTGTTGGAACAAAATATGCTTATGGGCAGTGCAGAATTCTAAATGATTAATCTATAATTTTTTTTTAAAATGTTTTATTTATTTATTCATGAGAGTCAGAGAGAGAGAGAGAGGCAGAGGCAGAGGCAGAGGGAGAAGCAGGCTCCCCACCTAGCAGGGAGTCCGATGCGGGACTCGATCCAGGACCCTGGGATCATGACCTGAGCCGAAGGCAGACGCCTAACCATCTGAGCCACCCAGGCGCCCTCGATTAATCTATAAATTTAAAAAAAGGTTTAAAACTTAATTTTCTCTCTAAGTGATTTACTTGAGAATAGGCCTTTCAGAACTTTCTTATATCTCCTGTAACTATTGGAGAAAGTCAAGCCACCTCTCTTAGCAGCGTTTGAATGGGCCACACCCCTGTGGGAGAGGAGGAGAAGAAAATGGGGCAGAGCACGCTTTTCTGATTTTTCTACGCCAGTCCAGCTTTAGCCTTTCATTTCTACGCCAGTCCAGCTTTAGCCTTTAGATCTTTCATTTACAAACAGATCTGGCCTGCCTTCTCCTCCTGATTTAGTGACCAGGTATAAAAACTAACCTGTCACCTACCTGTACCTTTGGGGTGACCAGTTGGTGTAAAGAATCTCGGGGTGCATGACAGCTGAGGTCTTAAGGGTGAACCCACTGTAACTTAACACAGTGATTCCCAGATTGTTTAGAGATAACCAGAGAGGTCTCAGGTAAAATTTCTGAACGTCAAATTAATTAATTCCAAGTCCTTTTAATTTACCATACCGTATTTTGGGTGGAGGTGAGCTGTCAGTTTTCAGAAGGGACATTTCAACTTCAAAGAGTTGGAAGTCTAGCTTATAAATGATGGTTGGCAGTGCAGATTTTTATAGCTAGTAGGGCAGAATTAGGGTTCTGTGGGCAAAGCCTTATTGCATCTCTGTAATTGATTTTGGCAGGCAGATTTGGGCCTCCCACCTCCTAACCTGTTAGTTCTGTTCTGTCTCAGCAAGCCTTAGAAAACAGTGGGCTGTCTTCAATTCCAGCTGCAGCACACGCTCACGACACCAGCCATGCCAGGACGCCCTCGGTGCAGGTTCAGAATCCGGATGCTCCTCACGCTTCGAGTGAGCAGACCCACTCCACAGAGGCAGAGCAGGGAAAAGATCAAGAAAGCCCAGAGAAGTTGGATAAAAAAGAAAAAAAAATTATAAAGAAGAAATCACCATTTCTACCTGGTAATTTTAATATGCTTTAAGGTTTACACGTTTTGGAGGGCATATTGCTTATTTTTTCTTTTGAGGGCGAGATGTTTGTTGAATGTTCTAATAGTATCAACCTATTTGTTTGATATTTAAAAACCTCGACCATCGTACACTTTGGGCCGCCTTTCTCTCCCTGTGGTCGGTGTCTCCTCCTGACAGTCCCCCGGGCTCATCCCTGGGTCGTTCTGGCCATTTTTGTCCCTTCCTTCGCCACCACACTGCCGTCTCCTGACGTAAGGGAGGCCGGGCTCCCACGGTGTCCGAACAGGCATGCATCTCAAGGACCATCCTTCCCACAGGCTTTCTGTGCCGGAGCATCTTCCTTCTCCCCTTGTCTCCCCCTGTCTCGGAGAGCTCCTGTGGTCATAGAACAAGGGCAGCACCTGGAGGAGACTCTGGGCCCTGCCCTTCCTCTTCTCGGTGCTCGCTGCACTTGGAATGTTTCTGACCCTACAGTCCCTCGTGTGCACCGTATGGCCCACTACGTTCTCTTCGTCTCTGAATACCCTATGGGCCTCTTGCGTGGGGCCAGGCACCACTACATCTTTCCCGAATGAAATCAGTTTCTGTGTTTTGGGCAAGAGCGTTTCTCTAGAAATGTTTTCTTAGGGACTGACTATTCTGCTTCTCCCAGGTGTCCTGGGGAGCGAATGCTTTCTTGCTGCAAAGCATGGAATGATGACCATTCTCATCTCTGTGAACGCTTCTTCTGAGCATGTCTCTTCCCAGTGTCAACATGTGGTTGTGAGATGCTTGTTTCTGCCCACAGAACATGGCAGTTCTACTCCCGTTTTCCCCTTGATCTGCTCCCTCATCCCCGAGTGAAACACGGGATGATGGAATCGAAGCGGTTTATCATCTGGGGATTCCTGGTGTCCAGAGAGGAAAGAAGGGGAAAAGCATCCTTTCCACATGTTTTTATTCCCGATATGAAGCCTTCTAGGGTTAGGGTTAGGGGCTAGGGATTAGGGGATAGGGTTAGGGTTAGGGGTTAGGTTAGGGTTAGGCACGCTCCATCCTGGTCCGCTGCACTTTGTCTTGTGCCCTGAGCATAGATGGTGGTTTCAAAACGCGGTTACTGTTAACGTACCCATGATTTTAATATGGAATATTCTGATTTTAGAGTTTGCAGAGGTTATGTCAGTTTATTTTTGAAATGCCTGAAGAAATTAAATACATGCACAGACTACTGAGCAAGTTTATGCAATTCTAGTGAATTTTAGATCAAATGTGATCCTCAGTACAAGTTGAGAGCCAGCATTTTTTTTTTCTTAGTCGTCCCTCGCTTGTCATGATAGAATTACTGGGGATGCGTTTCTGTAGTAAGATATTTCTTCTGATTAAAGCTTTTCAGGGAGCAGGACACGTTTAATGTAGTGACGGTTTCTGGAACTAGCTGTGCAAGGGGAGTTGAGGACCGTTTGGCGCCCTGAGGAGACTGTGAACATAAGCTCTTCTTAGCAGCTTTGAATTCACCTTGATTTCATGTCCCAAGTTGCACACACTCTCCCATTTAAGCTGTCACTATTCGGCTTCCTTAGTTTAGTGAGAAGGTTTTAGTCGAATTTGTTTTGTTATTTTAAGAGATATTTTGTGTATTGATTCAAAATTTAACAAATGCTTTTATATTTATCGTATAGCTTGTGACATATAAATCATTATTAAAACTTCACGAAGTTTGAAATTTATTGCGGTAAAATATTGGCTCTCTAGAAATCACAAGGAAAGGTGTTTTGGAAAGCTGGTGACTTACTCCTTAAAGGATGACAATGGTATACCTATTCTGTGTGGAACTCTTTCTTAAGGCCACAGAGATTTTACCTTTTTAGGCCAGAGTATGACTGGGAAAACGTAGCCCAAACTTGACTCCTGTTCTGTGCAGTGATAGGCCGGCATCCTCGTGGCCTGCTGCCGTGCATGGGCTCCAGGGTGCCGTCCATGGGCTCTGGGTCATCGGCCTTGGAAGCGGTGTTGATTACCCCTTGAGTGTTGGCTCTAGGTCTCTGTACCAGCTCTCCTCCTGCTTTCTTACTCTGCTGCTGGTGACCTGTAAGTGCCTGGGGCTCTGATAAATCATGACCTTAATCACTGCAAGAGAATTAAGTATATCATTCTTGGTGAGGACCTTTGCAACCCTTGTACTTTTTCTAAAAATGAAGTGCAGGAACAGGTTTGGACTTTTATACCTACTTTGAATAATTCAAGAGACTGATATTTTCTTTCCATTTTTGCTTTTCTTTCTCTTTAGAGGGTCTATATTGTGAATAAAGGTTTCTGTATTCATAGTTCAGGTAAATTACTTGTTATTTTGTATTATTTCGTGCTTTTATATAATACAGTATAGAAAACTTTAAAAAGACACATATTCATTTGGGCATCATTGGATTAAGTTTGAAAATTCCATAATTTATCTCATTTGTGTACAATTCTTTGATAGAATTTATGAGGTTTTCTTTAGGTTTTGTTTTGAATTGTCATTAATAATTAAATATAAATATTATTTTTACTTAAGGCCTTTAATTTTTTTTAGTGGTAGTCTGGTTTGGAGCTGAGTATGCATTAGTAGTAAATATAACACACTGGGTATGAAGTATTAGGAAGGACAGCTAGCTCCAAGGTGTTTATGGTGCGGCACAGGGTCAGTGCGTGGGCAACGCACAGCAGAGACAAGGGTGAGAGGCCACAGAGGCGTATTGTGAGTTAAAGATGTGCCTTGAGTTTGAGATAGGAGAAGTCGGTGGGCCACAGTGAGAAAGTAAGAGCTTCACTGAGTTGGAGGGACAAGAACCAAGTACTCATTGGAATGGAGGGAAGCACATGAGTGCTGAGTGAGAGTCCCATGAGGCAGGAGAGCATTCTGATCCAAGGATCATTGTAACAATTTCATTTTGTGTGTTTTTCTATATTAACAATTATTTAAGAAATTCCTAGCATTAAATTCTGTTGATATATAGCTAACATTTTATGCAAATTGAACGTTTAGATAAGGGTATATTTGGTTGTAGTCACGCATAGAAAACACCGCCCAAGGTTACAAGAGCACAACTGAAGGATCCCCTGTAACACCTCTGAGACTTCAGGAGGGGCCTGAAAGGTCATTTACTGTCTCCACACAGATCCTGTCTTTTTCTTACTGATTTGTTGAAGTTCTGTATATAGTCTAGATCTTATTTCTTTGTCATTTATGTGTTTCAAATACCTTTTCCAGAAAGAGCTTCTCTTTTCACTCTCGTTAAGATGTCTTTTGATGAATAGATGAATAGAAATTTTTACTTTTAATGCAGTTGTCTTGATGGTATAGCTGTTTTGTATGAAAATCTTTCTAAAGGTCAGAAGGATTTTATCTTCTTAGACCAGAGCATGTTCTTCATGACTTAGCCTTTTCTTGATGATTTAGAATCATCATTATGAATTTCATTATTGTTCTGTGCTATGGTTGCCTTTCTGTTCTATTTCTTCAGTCTTTCTATTTATAGTTTGTGTGTTCTGTGTTTCGTGTAAGAAATTTCTCCTTACCTACATTGAATTCTCCTGTATTTGTTTTGTTTTAACTAAGTGATAGGACTTGAACTCACGACCCTGAGATCAAGACCTGAGCTGAGATCAAGAGTCGGACGCTTAACCGACTGAGCCATCCAGGCGCCCCTGAATTCTCCCATGTGTTCTAACAAAAGTATTAGAACTTTGCCTTTCACATTTAATTCATTAATTTATTTGGACTTTATTTTTACATCTAAGAGGTGGGATTGAAATCTTATTTATTCCTGTGTGGTAACTAGTTGTCTAGCACCATGTATTGGAAAATCTGTCTCTTCTCTGATATGTGATACCAGGTTTGTTAGAGATCTGGTTTCCGTCTCTGTGTGTGTCTAAACTCTGGGTTTTCAGTTGTGCCCCACCCTTCTGTTTGTCTATGGGGAGATCGATATGCTGTCTCCATTATTTAATATAGCTCTTAAAATCTGTAGGGTGGGTCTTTATTTTTCATTCTCTTTTGTATTATCTTGGTCTTTGGTTTGACAAAATTGGTATCTTTAAAATACAGTGTTTTTTATGTCCCTGAACGTATTTCTCTTCCTCTTGGTGTCTTTTTTACATAAAGCTCTTGGAAGTCTTCTCAGATTTATTCTTTCACCTTATCCTTTTGTCATTGTAAACTATTTTTATGTTGCAGTTTTTGTTATAGGTATATAGAAAGATAATTGGCTTTTGTATATTGATTATGAATCCAGCAACCAATTAACTTCTGTTGTTAATTGTAGCACTTTGTCTGGAGATTGTGTTGGGTTTTCCATGCAGATAGTATATTGTGTATAAATAATGACAGTTTTCCTCTTCTTGGTACATTGGCTTGGGCTGACGCCACAGTGTTGTGTAGAGGTATGGAGAGTGGTCCACTTCCATCTTAACTTTGAACGGGGGATGGTTTTAATGTTTCACAGTTGAATTTGGCTTTTTACTCTTGGCTTTTCATGGAACCTCTCAGATTTGGGAGGCTGCCTTCCATTGTTGGTTTACCAAGGAGGTTTTTTGTTTTCTTCCTTATGTTGAATATTATCAAATGGCTTTCCTTTCTCTTTTGTTACGATCATATGTTTTTCTATTTTAATCTCTGAGGTGGTAAATCACAGTAATTGATTGGAAGCAAACCATGTCTTCCATCTGGGCCTCCATGTTACTCTAGTTTCTCTCTCTTTCCCTTCCCTCTCCCTCTTCTTTTCCTGTATTTTTTCTTTATGACACATTTTTTAATTTGCTTGGCCAATATTCTTTTTTTCAATTTCACTTAATAAAATACACTTTTTTATTAAAAAATGGATAACACCAGTACTTACTTTTAAATCAGTTAAATTTTAAAACCATTCTGTTTTATAGAATGTATACTGGTGTTAAAACAATTTAAAGAAATGCTATCTAGAAAACATTACTTTTGGTTATTGTATTCCCCTCATACTTCTACAGCATTTTTATAT